TGGAATATTTAATTGCAGCAGTGAATTAAGGTCTGTTGTAGGGGGCAGTGGCCAGTCAGAGTGCAGCAGGCACTTAACGAACCCTGGGAGACTCCTGGATAGTCAACGAGATGCCCTCATTAAGCAGCGTGCTGTAGGCAGGAGCCAGGGAACCCACGTGGGGACGGAGGGCTGTGGGTGACGTCCCCAGGGACCCTCCCTCTTGCAAACCAAGAGCTGTGCATCCGCTCCTGGTTTCATCCTCTGGCTTGCCTTGACTTTCAATCCTGTATCTGTGCAAGCCTCACACGTAGAGTGATTTTGTGTTCTGCTTGCACCCTCAGCCCTCTTTCCCATTCCCCCTCTCTCCTCCCTGTTACATCTCACTCTCCCAGCCGCCCCCGCCTGCCCGAGGCAGCAGGATGGAAGGGGTGGGGACGGTCCCCTCTTGCCTCCAGCAAGGCACCAAAGTGGCAGAATGGTGCTGAGCACATCCCCGCCGGGCCCATCCGTCGCAGCATCGCTCTCCCCCTCTCACGCTGCAGGGAAGGCCCTGCTGAGGGGCTGGCACCAGGCAGCTGCCCGCTGGGCTTTCCAGGGGCAATGGGAGGGGTGGGGAGAGGCACCGTGTGCAGGTGGTCGTGCCCGGGGGTGCCCAGCCCTGCCAGCTCCTTTGCCAGGCTGCTCTGACTGGCTGCAAGTGGGGGAGCAGTGCTCATTAAGCAGATGGTAACGTGCAGCCCTCCTCTGCTGCTCCCTGGGATGAGTCCTGCTTGGTTTGGGCAGGAATTGTGGAAGGCAGAGGGGGAGCTTTGCTGTCCAAAAGCACAGCAAAAAGGCACGTGGCTCAGGGGACCTGCATGGGCACCTTGCCCCATACCACCTCCATCAGGAGCCTGGTGCTGGGCCCAGAGCCACACCAACCCCAAGGCCTTAGAGGAGGGTGCACAGAGCCCCACGCAGAGCTCCCTCTTTGCGGCTCCCTGGCAGTGGGGTGCAGAGCTCCCTGGCAGTGGGGTGCCCAGTTCAGCTGTTCAGGGCTTTGCAGTGTTGCATGTGACCCTTTGGTGACAGGGTGTGATGCTCCCCAGCTCTGGGAAGGGGGGTCCAGGGGGGAGAAGTCTCTGCAGCACTGAGGCTAGAGAGTCAGGAGCAGGAGAGGCTCAGGAGGTGAGGAGGAGAGAGACAAAAATTCTGGTTTTGCTGAATTACTGCTGATTTCCAGGTGCTAAAACCAGAGTGGCATTGAGAGCTCACAGCCCTTCCCCACACCAGGGGATCTCAACCACTAGCACTCCCTGGTACTGGGTGAGCCTCAGGGGACAAGCTGTGACACCCTGGCTGCCACTGTGGTCCTCGGACTGTCCCCCCTGTGC